GCCCGGGACGGGCCTGGGGCGGGGCGCGCTGATACTAATCAAGTTAATCATTCCTGCTTCTGGGGTAGTATGTAGGTTGCATGTGCTTTTGCTCCTGCCTTTGGTTTTTCATCAGTCTTGCCTGCTACCTGCAGAGCCAGGACTATGACTTGTTCCTCATTGCAGTCCCAGATGCTCCTTAACTGTTTGAGTGACTTTCCCTTCGTTGCTGTCTAAGTCTTAGACCAGAGAGGACACCGTGTCTGCACCGTGTCTGCACTCGGCAGTTGATATACCGCCCAGCCTCTAGCTTGCCACGTCCCTGCAGCGAATGTGTGGAGAATCCTCTCACAGCTCTCCAGGCAGGCACTGATGTCGCGTTTATAATGAGCTCTGCATATCACTCCCATCTGAAAGGATGTGCATTTGTTTCATAGTAGTTGAGTACAGAGTGACGCAGATCAGGGGAAGCCCCTAGAAGCTCCTCAGAGTGGTCCACAGATGGATGGAGTGTGTGGATTAGGATGCTTTTGGCTACAAGCAGCTGAAGACTCAGAATTGCTAGAGCAGTGGAGAAATTATTGTCCTGCACAATGAGGAGCTTGGAATAGGGCCCATCTGGGGTTGGTTCTTAGCCCAGTGGTGCCCTTAGCCTCAAAGTCTTGGCTTTCTTGGCTAGGGTATTGCCTCTGCGCTGCCTTTGCAGATGCAGCGGTGGGTGTGGCCATGCTTGCATGCAGGGCCGGCCTGCAAGGGAGGCTTCCCGAGCCCTCCTTCCTTCTCGGCTTTTCGAATTGAAGGTCTCAGGCGTGTACAGTAGCGTGAGGGTGACATTGGGCATCCCGTGTGCAGCCAACCAGCCTCAGCAGCTGATCAGATAAGACCGATGTAATTTTGTCTGTTTTGCCTCCTCCACCCCGTTATTTTGAAGCAAAGTTTAGACTATTTAGAAGCAAACCTTAGGCATTGTTTATTTAATTTTTAAGCACTCTAAAAGATAAGGACCCTTTTTCTTCTAAAACATAATCTTAATACTATTGCCACCCCTGTCCCCAAGAATGAGCAATTCTTTCATATCATCAGATTCCCAGCCAGTGTTCACTTTTCCCAAATGTCTTTTTCCAAGAGAAGAGAGATGTTTTCCAGAAGCTTTTCTCCAGATTCCCCTCATGTTTCAGGAGAGTTACATCCCATGCCCCTGGATGACCTAGTCTCTGGGAAGGGACTGGGATCATATGATGGCTGTGCACTAAGGAGGATTTACCTCCGGAGCTGAGAGCAGGTCTTCCTGGAGGTGTGGATTCCAGCACAAGCCTGTGCTTGTGGATGAAGAGACTGGGACAGTGACTGTGACAGAGGCACTAGCAGTCTGAGACATCCTGCCCAGCAGGAAGTCCCTTTATTAGATAAGAAAGACTCAAGTTTTGCCTGCAAACCTTGGGTGTCATCTCAGGGCTCCCCAGCTAGCACTGTAAGCAGACAGGGGATTGCATCCTAAGGGCCTCCCATCCGAATACCATCTGTCTTGCTGAGGAGTTCAAATCCTCAGAGCCTAAAACGTCTTGTCACATCTCGAGACTGCCGATGCTCTGCTCTCCTTAGCGGGACTGGCTGTGCTGACAGCACTCAGGAGGGCAGGGAGAAGGAACGTCTGTGCTGTGGGATTGGCAGAGCTGCCACGCTGCCTGCCACACTGCAGCCTGGGAGCTGGGTGGGATTGCGGGACCCCAGCTGAGGTGCTGTCCGGGTGGTTCCTGGGCTGCACTCTCTGAGGTGTGGCTCGCTGAGCTCTAGGTCAGTGTGGGCTTAGAGTCTCATCAGTTTACAGACTGCCTCCCTGTTCCCTCACCCCAGAGCTGAAGCCCTCCTCTGAGTTTTTGCTGTGTGAGAAGCCCTGATTTGATGCCTACATTGGGGTGCAGTACAGCAAGGTGAGAAGAATGTGGGCCTGCCGGCAGTGAGCTGGGGGTTCAGAGCCTCACTCTGTCGTTTTCCAGCTGTGGGCCTTAGGCTGGTGACTAACCTCGCCAGACCCCACGCCCTCCTCTCTGTCACAGAAAACAGTGGCCCTGTAGGAAAGGAAGGAACAACATGACTAGATGTTGGAGGCCTCAGATCCTGTAAAGCATACAGAAACAGCCTGGCAGGGAGTGCTTCATATACGTGAGACTCTTGTCTTGCTGCGGTTCTAATGGCCTGAAGTTTTAGGATACCTTTTGGTGGTGAGCCTGAGGTACTTAAATATCTGTTGGGCAAAACTGTTATGTCTTTCTTTTTTTTTTTGAGTTGGAGTCTCACTCTGTCACTCAGACTGGAGTGCAGTGGCACGCTCACGACCACCGCAGCCTCCACCTACTGGACTCCGGTGATCCTTCCGCCGCAGCCTTCCAAGTAGCTAGAACTACAGGCGCACGCTACCACGCCCAGCTAATTTTTGCTTTATTGTAGAAGAGGTCTCGCCAAGTTGCCCAGGCGGGTCTCGAACCCACCAGTTCAGACAATCCCTTCACTTCGGCCTCCCAAAGTGCTGGGGTTACAGGCTGAGCTACCAAGCCCGACCCTGTTATGTCTTTCAGTCCTCGGGGGCGGTTCTCAATTTACAGAGGAGGAAGTCAAGACTATAAAAGAGTTTTCGTGTTTTGTCTATGGTGACGTGGCTTAAACCAATGGCCAAGTAGGTTCTTGGGTCTACTTGTTTGACACTAAAGCTAGTAATTTTTCCACTAAGTGTCTTTAAACTGTTTATGGCCTAAACTTTTGAAGTAGCTAACTGGGTATTGGTTGTTCCTTAAGGAAATCACCCAGTGAGATTTGCTCTGAGCAGATGTTATCACGAGAAAGTACACAAAGGCAGTGTAATAATAGTCAGGACTCAATGGCATTGACTACTTTTGTAATATATGTGTGTTTCGATGTAAAAATGTTTCCTAACATTGGAAATTCTTTCTTTCCCAAAATAAACTGATAGCAAAATGCCATAGATGGAGTGGCTTAAACAATAGAAATTAGTTTTCTCATCGTTCTGGAGGCTGGAAGGCTGAGATCAGGTTTAGGCGTGGTCAGGTTCTGGTGCATGCTCTCCACCTTGCTTGCAGGCTACTGCCATCTCACCTGTGCTTCTGTGACCCCTTCTTTGTGTATGTACAACTCCCTGGTTTCTCTTACAAGGACACTAGCACTCTATTTCAGTGCCCCACCGTTATAATAGAATCTAACTTTAATTACCTCCTCACAGGCCCTATCTCCACATACAGTCACATGGGGGAGTTATGGCTTCAGCATTTGAATTTAGCAGGAACGCGATTCAGTTTGTAGCGCAAGGTTTTGAGTGACAAGATAATGTCGCCTAGGATTTGTCTTTTTCCACCAGAAAGGGGGAATATTATGAGTAAAGTCACCTATCACATAACACATAAAATCAAAGAGTAGCCTGTGGGTGTTCCATATCGCAAGTTGTTATTTGTATCTCTGCTTCTTTCTTCTCTCCTTCACTCTCCATGACTTTGATGTTCTCCTATCTTTGCCTGATGTTCTCCTATCTTTGCCTGCTGAATTAAGCCTAACCATCCCGTATCACTTGGCCTTGGCTTCATTTTATGTTTAGGAAAATTTCTTCGTGCCTTTTTATTTGCAAAATTCTAAGCCTACAGAAAAATTTAAATAGCATTATAGTGAACACCTGTATTTACCGGCGAACGTTTTGTCGCTTTTGTCCCATATCTCTGTATGTACGTGCATGCATACACATATAGACATATACTTTTTTCTTGAACCGTTTGAGAATGACATGGAGATATAATGATTCAAGGGAGGACCCAGAGAAAACCGGAACTATCTTTTGGAGGGTGGATCCTTTGTAGTATACTTGGAATTTGTTCCTCCGGATCAAACGGTCAACCAAAGTTTTTATCTGGTGGACATTTTGAAAAGATTGTTTCACGGTTTGCGGAGGAAACGCCCCTAGTGTGGCGAACAGGTGCCTGGTTCTTCCACCATGACAACACGCCTGCTCATTCCACATTGATATTCTGCAGTTTTTGACCAAAAACAGCATGGCCCCATGCCCCACTCTCCTGATTCACCAAGTCTTGTCTTGAGCTCCTCTTGTTTTGTTTCCCTGAATGGGAAAAATTCTCAAAGGGAAACGTTTTACTGATGTGGAAGAGGTGAAATAAAAAGCATCAGAAGCACTAAAAGTCATCAGAATTGAAGAAGTCTTAGAATTGTTTCTGACACTTTGGGAGGTGGAGGCGAGAAGATTGCCTAAGCCCAAGGGTTCGAGACCAGCTTGGGCAACATGGCGAGATCTAGTCTCTATAATAAAGTAAAAATTAGCCGGGCATTGTGATCCGCGCCTGTAGTCTCAGCTACTTGGAAGGCTGAGGTGGAAGGATTGCCTGAGCCCAGCAAGTTGAGGCTGTGGTAGCCGTGAGTGCCACTGCACTACTACAGCCTGGACAACAGAGTGGGACTCCCACTCAAAAACAAAGCGAAACAAAACTGTTTTGAGCAGTGGAAAAAGCATCTTGATAGGTATATTGTATCAAATGGAGCATTCTTTGAGGGTGACTGAAGTTTAAACATGTAAGAATAAATATGCACCGGGCTCGGTGGCTCAGCCTGTAATCCCAGCGCTTTGGGAGACTGAGGTGTGTGGATTGCCTGAGCCTGCAGGTTCGAGACCCGCCTGGGCAGCGAGACCTCATCTCTACAATAAATCAAAAAAAAAAAAAATTCAGCCGGGCGTGGTTGTGCATGCCTGTAATTCCGACTACTCGGAAGGCTGAGGTGGAAGGATTGCCGGAGCCCAGCCGGTCGAGGCCCAGCGGCCACTGCACTCCAGTCTGGGCGACAGAGTGAGACTCCAACTCAAAAAAAAAAAAGAATAAATATGCAATTTTTTATCAGTAAGTTCCAGGTTTTGTGTTGGTTTCTCCTCGTATTTTTGTCCTTAGATACATTAGTGTATGTCATCTAATAACAAAGATATTTTCTTATGTAATCACATGACATTTTGACACCATTTAACACTGATAAAATGATGTTGTTTAATATATACTCTGTATTTAAATGTCCCCAAGTTTTGAAAAAAAAATTCTTCCTGTCTCCTATGCCTGATTTTGTGTTCATATTCGTGTCTGGCCAACCTGGTGCAGTAGCGCCCGAAGCATGTGCCGTGCATGTCTGCTTTTGTACTTCTTCCTTGCTCTTCCACAAAGTGTTTTTTGAAACGTCCTGATACGATTGCTCCTCCTTTAAGCTATGTGACCTCTTTCTGCTCTTCAGTAACGTTTATTGCATCCTGCCTTGTATTGAGTGTAGACTTTTAGGACTCTTTCATCACCTTTGGGAGGCAGTGAGCTTCTTAAATACGGGGCTCTGTGTAGTTTGTACTATTTATTTTTTTGTTGCTCATTAAATATTTATTTAATTGACTTAAATACAGAGTGCTTTACGAGGTGTTTTACTTTGGTATAATTCATTTATTTGTAGTATTGTCTTCTGTTTTGGAAAGATGGTCTGAGAAATTCTATTTTCCTGAAATCATTTTAAAGAATGGAAAGAACTGAGGGATGTGGGTTTTAACATGCACACAGGGATGGAGACCTACATTTTTTCTACCCTGTGGCTTGTATCTGTGGAGTGAAAACTGCCAGACACGGCTTTGTCTAGACAAATGTTTATGAGGAATTGTGTTCACATGACAATTTGGGGTGGTGTGTGGCCTGTTGTGTCCCAGCAGGAGGTCCTGGGGAATGACACAGAGCAGCTGTAAGATCTCTTCTTTTACATCTAGGTTCGAGATGCAGCAATAAACAGCTTAGTGGAAATTTACAGACATGTAGGAGAACGTGTGAGGGCAGATCTCAGTAAAAAAGGATTGCCACAGTCCCGGTGAGTTCAGACTTTTTTCCTTTCTTCTGCTCTTTTCCCCCCCGATCCTTTTCCATTTAACGTCTTGGTTTGCACTGCTTTTTTTGTTATGGTAATTTTACTCAAAGAATATATTGTCAGAGGATTGTTGGTTGGAGATCTCCTTCCGCCTTTATGCCAGTTCCCCACCATTCCACTTCCTCAGCAGCAAGACTTCCTCACCCTAACATCTGGCCGGGTCCCATGCCACATATTGACTTTAGAAGCACATTTAAAAGCAATTCGTGTTAAAAAACTCAACACTGATTCTAAGTCTATGATTCTATATCTGTATCTGTATCCTCACAGTACTTAGTATACAGGTGCTTAGAATATATTTTTTTGAATGAAGCCATTCCAGAATGAGTCTGGATAGAAATTCATAAGCTGCAACTCTGGAAAACATGTTTTCTGTTCATTCGTGTCATTTTCAATGCATAGAAGCCAAGGCAAGGGGATCAGCGTCTCATGAGACCCAAGACAACTTGAGTCCACGAGTGTGTCTTTGTTATAGCTAAAATATTAATGATGTAACAATTGGATATTATAATTTTATCTATGATGGAGAAATTTACATCATGTGAATTCCAAACCCTTAGCATGGCTCATTTCTTTGATGGAAAAGTGATGTGGAAATTCTGGACAGTTAGAACTGGAGTAGACTGATAGAGCAGCTTGTATAGCCTGTCATTGAGCCATAAAAATAGCAGGGGCCCAGACACGCAATAACTTTTGAGAGATTACATGGCTAGGAAGAGTTCGTGAAGATTGAAACTGTTCTTCTGATATGCCTTTTAATTTTGTCTACCCTGTTTCACAAAGGAGTTTATGGAGCACAGGCATTTGGAAATAGGATGGAACACTGAAATTTGCAGGAGCCCTCTGTCTTCATGCTCCTCTGGCAGGCATTACGGAAGTGGATCCCAGACTCTCCAGCGGGGCTTCATGAGCGGGGGCGGGGGCTGTGCGTCCTTGTTGCAGAGAGTAGCCTGACCTCAGTGTTGTTCTCACTGGGACCCCGTGCTGTGTGCAAGATGATTAGATGGAAATAAACTATTTTTTTATGTTTTTTACAAAAGCCAATCTATGAGAATGGTTTTTTTGTGTGTGTTTTTTTTAATTCTGGCATTTTAGGAGTCTCACCCTTCTGGTCTTTGAATGTATAGTGATTCAAGCACTTAGGAGAAAAAAGAACTTACATACTAAACAGTCTCTTGGGGAAAATTGGAGGGCACAGATGAGCAAGGAAGGTGGAGGCTCAAGGGTGAGGGCTGTTTAATGATGAGGTCACCACCATTGTTGGGAAAACAGGTCTTGAGAGTGAAACCCTTGCCTGCCCCAGGGATGACATCATACTGTGCTGTGCAGCTCACGGTGGCCCCAGGCCATGAGCCCAGCTTCTCACCCAGTTTCCATCTCACCACTGGGGCTTCCTGTGTCTTGTTGGAAGGTAACCACAGCAAGCTGGCAGATCCGGGGGGAAATGATGTGGTGAAACCCAGATCTAGAGAGGTGAGTGCAGAAAAGAAGTAATGTGGCAGACCAGAGACTGCTGTCCTTACAAAAGTCTGGAAATGTGGACTTTCAGAGGGTTCCTACCCTTCTCAGAGAACAGGACAAGAGTGGCTCACTGTGTTCAAACTTTGCAAAGCTGAATACCTGCTTTCCTTCTGGGAGTTTGGCATCTTGGTATGTAATGTACCTCTGGGGCACAGAGCCTCTAAGCATTCCTGGAAGGCAAAATCATCTCACTTGGGTTGTGACACTTGGTGCTGGGGCTTGAGTGTGTCCTGTGAGACTCCATCAGGAGACACTCTAGGGAGCTTGTGCCTGGTTTCCTCTGGACTTACCCTTGTTCCTTTCCTGTTTCTGCTTGGCATATCCTTGTACTGTGATAAGTCACAGCTGTGAGTGTAACTATGCTATCTTGATAACGAGCTATTAAACCGGAAGTGGTCTTGAAGACCCCCAACCCAGAGGCCTTGATGACAAAATTGTGGCTGAAGGCACCTTTTGCAGCCTCTTAGTCGAGTGTTTCATGAGTTCTTCCTTTGCTGTCTTCCTTTTGTTTCCGTTTTTGGTTTATGAGTGAGAAAGCAGGATTTATGAAGAGGACAGAAAAGCTCCCACAGTGGGAGGGAACCCGAAGGGGTTGCCCCCCTTTTTTGTTTTTAATATTTAAAAGGGAGCGACAAAAACACTTGGGCCTCTGAATAGGAATGAACATTTCTGCGATCTCATATTACCTGTAATCCTTCCTAAAAACTCTGGACCAAGATGGAGGGGATGGTCCTAGGGAAATGAAGTCACATCCTTCATGTTCATATTGTAACACTATGGCAGACATTAGAAACTTCATGTTTCTTTGTATTTGTTACAAGATCTAGTGCTCTGAGGAGCAGGGTCTTTGGTTACCACCTTTATTTTGTTCGGGATGTGTCCAAGTGGAACGAGGCTTTTAAAGTATCAGAGAAATTCAGTATATGCTATATGGATGCCGTATGGATGACTGAATTACTTGAATATTCCAGATTTCTCTTGCATTGTTTTAGATTTTTTTTTTTTGGTAATTTTGTGACCATAGTAGATTTTTCAACTTAGTAATATTCTGTAGAGCTAATAAAATACTATAGAATTTGTTTAATGTTTTCCAAAACTTGGATTTAGTGCTGAATTAAAATTTCCTTTTAAGATTTTGTTCACCAAGAGAGTACTTTATTGAAAGAATAAAATTAATTATATCTCTAAGCAATATGTGGTAAAAAAAAAAAAAAAAGATTGCCTTAATAATATCAGCTAAGTGACTTAAATAGTGAGAGTAGTAATCTCATTTGAACAGCAGTTTTCTTTGTCCATTTCTCGGTTGGGAAAAGAGACTTATACACTACCCAACTTCGCTTTGGAGGACCTTGGATTAGGGTTTAGGGCAGTTGTGTTGTTAAGTCTTGTCATCTGTTGGTTAAAATCATACTGAACCAGCTAATAAGGTGGAGATAAATCAACAAAATCAGCAAAATCTTCGTATTAGAGAATCTCTACCCACATGGGATCTCTGGTGATGCCCCAGAGGTGTAGAGTATTTGATTTTACGTGGTTTTATATGTGTTGTTGTCACAGTTCATGTACATCTGTTCAGAAAGCAACTACATAATTAACTTGTAACTATCAATCATATCATGGAATTGTGTGATACTCTGTGAGCCATGCCTTACAACTCAATGAAATGTAAATCATCTAACTCTGTTACTTAATTTCGTAGACGTACTTTCTGCATACTTTGACATTTACTCTCATCCCATTGAATCTTCTAGAAAATATTTTTAGTCAATAACATACTTTATTTTTTATTTTTAAAATTTTTATGAGATGGAGTCTCACTCCATCACCCAGCCTGGAATGCAGTGGCATGCTCACAGCCACCCCAGCGTCGACCTGCTGGGCTCAGGTGATCCTTCCGCCTCACCCTTCCAAGTAGGTGGAAATGCAGTGCGTGCTACCATGCCTGGCTAATTTTTTGATTTACTGTAGAGATGAGGTCTTGCCAAGTTGCCCAGGCTGTTCTCAAACCCGTAGGCTCAGGCAATTCCCTCACCTTAGTCTCCCAAAGTGCTGGGATTATAGGCTTAAGCTACCACACCCGGCCTAGTTTTTAGAACTTTGAAAAAAAGACCAGTCACAGATATTACCTTCTTTCTGGGACCATCACTTGGGAACCAGACTTATAAAAAGCAGTGACTTAAAACCTAAGGATACTTTAACTTATAGACAGAGCTGAATATGTCATCTGATTCACTGTAACTACTTATTAACTTACATTGTGAGCCTGTGTTTTAAAGCAGGTTTCAGAATAGTTACTTTTTTGCTAGCTATTTTAAACATTTGTAAACATTCACTAGGTATTATTTCTTAGTGATTGTTTTCAAAAGGGAAAATTGGTACTTTTTGATTTTTTAACTTGCTAAAGCTTTAATGTAGAGAGGACCCAAGGCGAAAGCAGAGGAAACATTGATCAGGGTTATCCCTCTCATTTTTTTTTTTATATATATGTATAGTCATAGACATTTATAAATGTAGAGTTTCAACCAGTTCATAAGATACGTTTAAAAAAAGGGAATGCCTCACCCCTTCTGCCATTTTCTGCTCCTCAGAGACAAACACTGTCAAGTTTTCATTGAATTTTTTGCTATTTACTGCTCTCATAATGTGCATGCCTTACTGTTTAATAGTTTTTTTTGTTTTGGGGTTTTTGGGCACTAAAACAACTTCACTTTCCACTGTGGGCGTGGATTTCCTCCGAGCTCTTTTTCCTACGAGCCTTCCTCAGGTTCTCCTGTGAGCGCCACATCTACCAAATGTAATTATATTTTAATTTTGGTAAGGAAAGTATCCAGTTTATATTATGATTATGTGTGCTATACACAACTCCCTGTCCATACTTGATGAACTTCAGCCGGGCTCGGTGGTTCAGCCTGTAATCCCGCACTTTGGGAGGCTGAGGTGAGTGGGTTGCCTGAGCCTGCGGGTTCGAGACCCGCCTGGGCAACTTGGCGAGACCTCATCTCTACAGTAAATCAAAAAACTAGCAGGGTGTAGTAGTGTGTGCCTGTAGTTTCTGCTAATTGGAAGGCTAAGGCAGAAGGATCGCCGGAGCCCAGCGGGTCGAGGCTGCGGTGGCTGGGAGCGGCCCCTGCACTCCAGTCTGGGCGACAGAGTGAGGCTCCAACTCAAAAAAAAAAAAAAAAAAAATTTGATGAACTATGTTTAACTTTTCTCACAACCATCTATTTTTCCTGAATACTTATTTTCCTGTGTTTGCATAGTTGTCTAGGTACCTGTTACGCACTGGTACTTTCTACTTATTAACCTCTCGGCCAATTTGTGTAAGTCCTTTAACCTGCTTCAACCTGGACTCGCTGCCTGCACTGCCGCTTACACACCCATCATCCTGATGTGCGTATCTCTTTGGCTTCATCCTGGGGCTT